ATATATATATATGTATATGTATATATGTATATGTATATGTATGTATATATGACAGGAATTGCAGGATGAAGAAGTTTCCTATGTTCATTCCAGAATGCTTGCAGTGAGGACTAATGACTATCAAAATTATGATCCTTCTCCGGCCTTTGTGAAACCTCCATACAAACTGATACCAAACTAGTGCTACTATATCCTTAATTAAACTGAATGTTTCCTTATATGATATAAAGATGTACAGGCTTGTTACAAAATATTATTGTGTTATTTTAAAATTAAATAGAGCATATACCATTTTTTTTCTTTTATTATTATTTATTTCTCAGATAGCTATAATTAAAGAGAATCTAAATAGGTCATTTCTTTGGCAAAATATGCTGGCTTAGCTTAGTTAAGGTAGGTGGCTAACATAAGGAGTATGTTGTGCATGTGATTTTAGTAGTTGTTATGATATTTTCTTATCAATAGGAGTGAAAAACTTTGGGATAGCGACAACTGTTTGAAAAATTAGTTGTGAAGCTGCTGCAGACAGAGGTGGAACCACCAATCAATCTTTAATCTTTGGGATAGCTACAGTTGTTTGAAAGAACTGTCCCCCTAGGCCCAATGTGAGAGACGCAAGGACAACAAAGAACAAAGTGATATTTCATGAGAGGCAAAACTAATATTTAAGAAGGAGCAAAAGACCAAATCATCATCTGATATAAGTAAAAAATTGAACTTGAGAGTGGGAAAATTGTCCCTCTGGACCCTTTCTAAGTCCACCCCTGACTACAGAAGAATTTTTGTTCAAAAAATTGTGGTGGCTATTGCAAATTTATTTTATTTTAAAAAATTCATACCACAGCTTTGTGGTAGCTGCCCCACTTAGCTATTTCAGGTTGCAAAATGCTGCTTCATAGCTTTTTGAAAAAAACAAATAAATGAAGTGTTGCCAAACACTTTAAAGTGTGGTACAACACCGCACAACCACTATATTGTTTCCCCAAACGTAGCCTAATGGTTTTACTTTAAGTGTAACTTAATTCAAATCATATTGTGCAACTAACCAAAAAAAAAATAATAAAGGATAAACACACATTATATATCAAGAATTATATATATATTTGCTCGATTGATATCCAAGTCCAATTGTTCTAGTTGAGGATTTAACTTTGATTTTGATCGTAGAGATTGTAATATTCTCTCTAAGATCATCTATAATAAAGCCCCCAATTTTAAAAGGAAAAAAAATAAGGGAAATGAAAATTAATGTAACAATTTTGAAGTACATTTAAAGTTATAATTTGCAAATATTGGGTGTATTTTGAGAAATAATTTGCAAAAGTTGTTTCTTCAAAGGTAATTATTTCTCAAGAAGCTTTTAATCTATTCTATTGTTTAAAAAGTAATAGAATTTAAAGAGCGATAATATATATATATA